GAAACTTCTCATAGTATTTGATTTCAATGAGGATAGAAGACCGGATTTTTTTTCCTTGGGGGTTCAGGGAGTGAAAAGGACCAACGTTTTCCTTGTTTCTATTTTCCTCAACATTTAGCCGGATTTTATTCACGGTACTTTTATTCATAGGTCGTTTCTGTATCTCTTACCAAGCTGAAATCTACTTTGGAATGGCAATATTCAAAATATTTGAAGCGACTTGATGTAACCTACAGAAACGTTTTCTTGGGTCGATAATTACATCTCAGTCAGTCAATTTCTTTTACTTAAGAGCATAAAATAACGTTTCCCTTAAACCAACCCCTTACCTCGAAGGACAACTTCATCCTCACACCACTATTTATTACGCACACGACGACCCTCTCATAACGACCCTCTTTTCTCCTCTCCCCCAGACATTGACAACAATGGCTTCCTTGACAAGAACGACTTCGAGTGCCTCGCCGTCCGCGTCACCCTGATCGAAGGCCGTGGCGAGTTCTCCGCTGAGGGTTACGCCAAGAACAAGGAGGTCATGGCTAACCTCTGGAACGAGATCGCTGAGCTCGCTGACTTCAACAAGGTGGGTGCCTGTCCTTCCCTTAGCTTAGGGCAGTAGCTGGGTTTATGGGGATTATTCTATTTCTTTTTTTACATTCGGTGCAAAAGAATAGATAAGAAGCATGTAAAAGTCAATTCACTTTGGTCAGGGTTTCACCAACAGATATTCAGGACTCTTCATGTGTATTATTTGACTTTTTTACTGAAGCGTATAGTCTAACTATGGCAAGTGAACCCTCCTGACTTCGTGTTGTGTCTCTCCCAAGGACGGTGAGGTCACCGTTGACGAGTTCAAGCAGGCTGTCCAGAAGAACTGCAAGGGCAAGGCCTTCGCTGACTTCCCCAACGCTTTCAAGGTCTTCATTGGCAACCAGTTCAAGACCATTGACGTCAACGGTACGTGATTTTCATCTGCACTTCGATGAATTAATTCGAAAATAACCCTTCGGGAAACCTTAGTTTAGCGACTTTTTTCCTCCACTTGAATTATCAATATTGAAGCGTGATCAATACATCGCACCTCTCTGAAACGACCATCTTTGGGTGGAGCATCTGCTATTGCTCTTTCCTCGCACTTCCCGCTAATGGAACTTCCTCTCTGCCACTCCAGGTGACGGCATGGTTGGCCTCGACGAGTACAGGCTTGACTGCATCACCAGGTCCGCCTTTGCTGATGTCAAGGAGATTGATGATGCCTACAACAAGCTCTGCACTGTAAGTATCCTTTCCCTCTGCACAGCCCTTGCCGAAAATTTCATACAGCTTATAACCAGTGAATGCCATGCCCGTTCATTAACCGCTGCGGTGCCCCTCAAGTTCTCACGCACGCTTCCCTCTGTTCCTGCAGGATGAGGACAAGAAGGCCGGTGGCATCAACCTCGCTCGCTACCAGGAGCTCTATGCCCAGTTCATCTCCAACGAGGACGAGAAGAACAACGCCGTCTACCTCTTCGGCCCACTGAAGGAGGTCTAGTAAGTTCCTCTCTGCAATGCCGCGGAAGGAACGCCCAGAGCGCGAGGCTACTTTGGCTTGCAGGATGCCCTCCGAGCTAGTTTAGCCGAGTGTCTCTCTTTTTTACTGCCCTCCTAAGGACACACTCCAGAGCCCGTTAATACCTCACCTCACCACATCATCTCATCATATTCATCTCCCTCTGACGCCAAGCCGTTCCCGCCGGGATCGACACCTCCGGCCGCAGACCGACCGTCGGCCTCGAGGACCTCTCTAGCCCGACCTTCGTGGAGTGGAGAGCCTCACCAGCGCCGCCCCTGGCTCGAGGACGACCCAGCCCTCGGCCAGAGCAACACCGGGACCGGTCGACTGCATTCGCGATCATGTTTCTTTTATTGTTATCCAATAAATGTTGAACTAAAATACTGTGACTGTATGAATTCGCAGCCTTTCTTACTTCTCTTTCTCTGGCTTATAATGCTTCGATAATGTATATATATTTTTTCTGTTGCTGGGAAAATTGAACTGAAAATTGTAAGGTAAAGGATAAAAGGAAAATATACCTGAGGCCTTCGAAGTGATCACAAGTCTACAAATTATAATTAGGAAGCATGACTCGACAAAATATATCGATAATAGTTTATTCCAACGGCGACAACAATGATATGGCCAGAAATCGAATCAAAGGAAATAAAACATCTTATGAAAAAAAAGCTGAATACCAAAACATTAATTTCTGATATTACGATTACTCAACCCCACAAACCTTACAGAACACACCCATGCTTGTCTTCTTTTCCATAAGAATATTCACACGATATTGGCACTGGCATTTCCTCGGTGCCAAAACAAGAACGGAAATATTCTGTCAAAAAAGGAAATAAATAAAACATACTATAAACATCACACATATTTTTCTCAACAGACATGCAATGCTTGTCTTCTAATGCCATCCAATAGCTTACATTTTGGAAACAAACATCAGAT